TAGCCAACTTTGGGCGGCCAGGTGGTGGGAACAATGGCAAAGGAGTGAAGGCGGTGAGCGGTGCGGGCAGTGAGGGTGATGGTAGTGACGACGTAGAGTGTGGCTGGGCGAAGCGCTGAGGGCGGTCGGGGTGGACGAAGCGTTGAGGGCGGTGGGGGTGCTGAGGGCGGTGGGGGCGGTGGGGGCGGTGAGGGCGGTGGGGGCGGTGGGGGCGGTGGGGGCGGAGGGGGGTTGGGCACACATTGGAAGCCTCTAAATTCTTCTACAAGACTTGAAAACCCGTAGCCAACTTTGAAGCCTGTTAATGCTTCTTCACGGGAAAAGGGCAAGAGCAATGCCTCAGACAAACAAACAAACAACCAACCCTTCGGCATTTCACTGGCGCCGCTCCAGCAGGGGTCGGCGGACATACATACATACATACATACATACATAAATACATGCATACGTACATACATACATACATACATACATACATACATACATACATAAATAAATACATGCATGCGTACATACATACATACATACATACATACATACATGCATACATACATACACACATACATACATACATACATACATACATACATACATGCCTACATACGCATGCATTATGTATGTATGCATGCATGCATGCATGCATGCATGTATGTAGGTATGTATGTATGTATGTCAATGTATGTGTGCATGATGTGTGCAGGCTGTGTGTTCACTTAACTCTCCGCGAGGCGCCTTCTGGCGGTAAGAGTGGCGACTGGACGTGCCCCACCTGTGGAGACCTCGTGCAGTTGGCCCAGCTTCAGCAGCATCTGAAGACTTTTCTGCACCCTCTAAGCCGTTTCTGTGTCAGGTTCTCCAGCCGAGGACAGGCTTTCAGTGGACCTTGCCATGATATCTGTTTAAAGCCATGATGCTGTGTCGGCCGACATTGCCATGAGCTGAATACCAGGCCATTGTCGGAAATGTGGCGCCAGCAAGCCCGGAACCAGCACTTCTCCGGGGGATGGCAAAGACTGGAGCTGTCCCCAATGTGGTGATCTTGTGTCCGCCGCCCAGTGTATGGTGGGGTGGCATTTCCGTTTGGGCGGGGTTGGAGAATACAGAGATCAGGTTTGGCAGCAGAAGCTCGTGCCGCAAGTGTGGAGCCGAGCGCCTCGTGACAGCCAAGCCGACTGTGCAAATGCACACTGGCGATTGGCGATGCCCGAAGTGACGCTTGACCGCTTCACTTCATCCCAAGATTCTGACAGGCTATTTGCGTGTTGAGGTGGGTTGAGTTGGTCTTACAAGGGCTCGTGATCCGTTCACTGTCATGAGGTGGGCCTCTAAGTCAGCAGACCGGTAGTGTGTGTACCTTTACATATGTATGTATATATATATATGTATGTATGTATGTATGTATGTATGTATGTATATATATATGTTTAGTATATATGTATACACACATACATACGTACGTACATACCCGCTTGTGGAGTTTGGCAGGCAACGACCACCAGTTTGCGAGGAATGAGTCCAAGCCGCAACAAGTTTTAGTCGCTTGTTGGACCACAGGCGGTGTAGGAGCACTTCATGCCTTGGAGTGTGGACGGCCCACGTGGGTACCACACACAGTTCATAATTTACATGCAATGTTGTACATAGGCACGCAGTACGGCATATACTGTTACATATGACATACTGTAAGCAAAGCATCAAATGAACGCTTAAACTACTCAGAAGCCACCTGTCCATCTCCGAGGAGCGCTGCCGCAGCTGCGGAGAGGCCTTGTTGTCTGGTACATCTCGCGGAAATATCGTTTTTTTTGCAATCGGGTATGTATGTATGCATGTATGTACATATGGACGTACATGTAAGTGTCTCTTTCTACAGCTATGGTGTAGATGCATGATACAAGTAGAGTAAGTGCATATCCGTGGGTTTTAGTGGATGGATGTGTATGTCTGCGTGTGTATGTAGATTTGTCTGTGTATGTATGTCGGGATGGATGTATGTATGTAGATGCGTGTGTGTATGCATAGGTGTATGTGTATGTACATGTGTACATATGTACATGTATATGTACTTATTTTTGTATGTATGAGTATGTGCATGTGCATGCGCAGGTGGATGTGCAGGTGTATGTGCACCTATGTATATGTATATGTATATGTGTATGTGTGTGCATGTGCGCATGTGTGTGTGTGTGGAACTCCTTGAACTACTTTGCATTTTTGCTTGTCTGCAGTATGCCAATGTTTCACTTGCTGAAGAGTTATATATATATAGATAGATATGTGTATATAGTATATATATATACAGACGTCCTTGAGGTTCCTGTTAATATTGAAAGTCTTGTATTGCATCTAAAATTGACAATCTCGATCCTTGTTCAGGTCTCACAGGCTCCCATCAAGTAAATGTTCAGCTTACAGGCAAGAAGAGGAAAGAGATGATAATGATGGACTTCAGAAGATGGACGACAACCGGCTTTGACCGGGATCTGCATGTTTTCCGGCTGGTAATTCTGTCAAAGGGATGGGCATTGCGCCCCGCAAAGCATACCCAACATGAAATCTGATTACATTCTGGTATTAAACCAGACTGCTTCCCAAAATTTTTTGATCCTGGAAGGCTAACGCACTCGAAGTGTTCCCACTTCAAGAAAGCACCCAAGCATCTCTGACACATCTTCTAGTGTGCCAGACTATTACAGAAGCATGCCCAACTCTCATCCCAACATGGAAGAAGCATATCCAATACCCAACAAGTACTTGGTTCAAAAAGCTGATCCCATGATGAAGTACAAGCATCATTTGTGATGCTCCCAAGGCTTACCCAAGTTCTTACCCAACAAGCACCCAAGATTCGCCACACAACAAGCACCCAACGTCTCGTCATCGTTGTTGGTTTCTGAACTCCGTTCAGACTTTGGGATTCACTTTCACGTGAGCCGCTCATCATCATTTCGTGACCCTTCCTTGATTTCATTCTCTTGTGTTCGGTTGTTCAGGTTGTGGTTGACTTCATTTGCTTCGTGCTACGTACGTTACACTCAAAGAGATGCCGGTGCGACTGACAGCACATCAAGAGTGCAGCGGCTGGACATGGTTGGGCGCTCCCAAGAAGCGCCCGCCATTTCGTGAAAATAAATAAATAAAGGAACATTTCGCTGTTACTGTGTGTCCAATGTCTTGTCGTTCACTACTAGATACACAGTGACCTAATTCGTTTCGCCACCCAGAAGATACCCGGCATCCGTGTTTTGTCGCGTCGTTTCATTCTGCTCTCACTTCAGCTCAATGTTCAAGAGAAGGAGACGAGAGTAGGTTAAAGGGGTAAACCAGCCTTGAGGTCCAAGCATACATGCAGAAGTGTATGTGTTGCAGCTACAGCAGTTTGCAGTCTGAAGAGTTCAAAGGTCTCACAGGCTTCATAATCGTTTTGACATAACTACATAATGGAACACGACGAAAGACGACGAAGATCATCCGAAACATACCCAAGATCATACAGAATTATGGTTACCCAACTCTGATCCAAGTTTGCTATCAAGGAGGCCAAAACGTCGTTCGTACTTTAGACGCGATGTAGTTCGCTGTGTTCATCTTCATGTCGTTCTGATGGTGGAGATCCAAGTATAATGTTGGTCGTTTCGCCACCCAGAGAACACCCAGCATCCGTGTTTGTTCGTTTCGTTTTATTCTGTTCCATCTTCAGATCAAGTTACGACGACGACCAACCAGGCAAACGACATTGCCAATTCAGAACTGTCTTGGGTTCAGTCTAACTTGTCTAGTTGTTCTGTTGACAACCGGTTTCAATCGGGGTCGTGTGTGTCGAACTCCTGTTCCTGAAGAGATTGAGTTTGGTCATTGAACTGCTTTGTATCTTTGCTTTTCTGTAGTATGATATGAAAGCCGATTAGAATGCAGGGGGCTGGCGGCCTATTTGATGCCAGCCAACGAAGCTAGCGGAATAGGTGGAAGGAGTTATTGATGCATAGCTCTGTACCTGCCAATGTTTCATTCGCTGAAGAGTTCTGTGTATGTATGTATATATATATATATGACCTTGAGATTCTTGTTAGTGTTGAAAGTCTTGTATTGCGTCTAAAATTGACAATCTCGATCCTTGTTCAGGTTTCACAGGCTCCCATCAAGTAACTGTTCAGCTTATAGACAAGAAGAGGAAAGAGATGAGAATGATGGACTTCAGAAGATGGACGACAACCGGCTTTGACCGGGATCTGCATGTGTGTGCGCGTGTGCATGTGTGTGCACGCATGTGTCTGCGTATGTGTCTGTATGTGTATGTATGTGCATGTTTGTGTGTACGTCTATGTGTATGTGTGGAATTGATATGCATGTTTGCATGTACACCGTCTCTGTTTGTGTCTCACCTAGCCTCTGTCGCTGTCTGTATACCTCCATACATACATACATACATACATACATACATGCACGCATGCCGTCATACATTCACACATGTGCAACTTTTCGAAAGTGCGCCAACACACGCATAGGCAATCACATGTACATATCTAGATGCCATCGTACATGTATCTGTCAACCGTTCCGGCCTTTCAGATCCGGGTGCTAATCACTTGCAACATAGTCAAGTCTTGCACATGCTTAGACTCGCATGCTTGTTGTTACCCTACCCCGCGGTCGAGATGCTACGCGAACTTTGATTTGTAAAAACATGCCGCAGCGAGGTCCATGTCTTCAGACTGTTGCTGGGTTCACGATGCTCTTGATTGAGCTCATGTGTTGGCTCTTGTGAGAAGCCCAACGCCATTACTTGAGCATAGCTGTTTTATCTGAACATCAGAACTCATTATACGATGTCTTCAGTCAACCATGGGCCAAAGCCGATATCGGTGCATGCTCTCAGTTTCATTGAATCGAGAACCAGATAGGCAGCAAGCCCGAGTGTCCTGAAAGCTGCACCCGAACCCCGTGCCCCCGAGCCCAAAGAAGTAGCACTGAGAGGCTAGGCCGAGCGCATCTTGGCTGGGCACCGCTGTGGGCTTGGCACCGCCGTGCTACTGGACCTCCAAAGTTCGGGCCCCAAGGAGGTCATTGTGTGTTCAGGATTTAGGGTTGAGATGGTTCCAGCGGTGCAGCATCGCACCTTTCATCCCACTCAGGAGGGCGATGGGCCACCTTGGCGGATTGTGCCGGCTGATGCTGCAGAGATCGAAGCCCTGAGACTAGCGATGGATCCAGGTGAGATGGCCACGGATCGAAGTCCTTGTAATGTAAAGCAACGTGACTTCAGAGGCTAGGATGGTTAGACCTGATGGGGGAAGTAGTGATGCCTGGAAGTGTTTTGCGAAGGCGGGGCGGAGTTATTTTTCCGCTCAACTAAGAAGAGCCCAAGCTGCCCAAGCTTAATAGCCCGGTCCGAACAATCATAAGAACAGTAGTGAAAGCTTTTGCATTCATCAGAGGCCCATCATACCGACAAAGTTGCTTGTGGTAGCAATAACGCTTCAGTCTTGCGTTCTGCTCCCGGTGCTGTCCGTCGCAGGTGGGAGCCTGGGCGGGCGGGATCAGCGCGCCGCCGGCAAGCACCAAGGCACAGACGGTGGGCTGAGGGCTGTTCCCAGGCGCAGTCCGAGCATTGTTGTGATTGCCATTTGTAAGGGGACAGCCACAGGACGTGTCGACAGCCGAGGCGGGTTTTGCTGTTTGCTCATGTCGCGTCAACCACAGGATTCCAACTCCACGGAGCATGGCGCCTCCAGCATCCAGGACAGTCTCAGGAAGAGAGTTTGGTCATCGCGTACATGCCTTAATGCAGGCCTGCTTGCCTTGTCTATTCTCAATCCTGCAACAAAGTTCCAGTAGGTGTGGGGAACCCTGAGAAGCTCCCACCACGAAGCCTCCTGCAATGCTTCTGGTGAACAGTGGTTCTTCTGAACATGTCTTGCACATAACGTGCACTGATGCAGTTCATGCGGTGGCAGTTCGCAAGGACTCTGGGGCAAATATGCCATGGAGCGGGAAAATCTGCGCCAGAACCTTGCCGGCATTCCAGCAAAGCACATTTCAAGCCCAAACTCGCAAAGAAGGAAGCGCCTGCATGGAGCACTATGGGAAGCCCCTTTACAGATGCTTGCATGTGACTGGAGACACTGAAGACAGTGCATGCGGACCACGTGCTCTGACTGAGGATTGACATGAAGTCGATTTCGTCGGCCGTGCCATCGGTGCAGCTGCGCCGTCAGTATGTGGCCCATCTTGACCGTAAGCCAGAAACCGAAACCCCGAATGTTGGCTTGCCCGAGCCAGCCCCATGCGCCGGTGGTATACGTGCCAGTCGATGCCAGAGAGGTGGAGATGGCCGAGAAGCTTCCAGCCGCGCTGTTCACCGATGTCAACGAGGTCTTTAGGGCTTCGATTAGGGGTTTAGGGGTCAAGATGTCTTAGAGTCAGACGAGATGTAGGTGTTCCGGGCCTTTTCAGAAAGGACCCTGCTGATTGAGGTCGACAGCCTGCAACTCATATTTCTGATGATATCTGTGGAAGGCCTTCCCTTGACAGTTTTTTGAGTTTTTTTGTCATACCTAGCAGAGATATTTCTTCTGTCTTGTGACAGAAGCTGATGTCAATGCTGGCTCTTGCAGCTTGCATAGCCTGGTCCGGTTAAAGTTCGGATAACGTTCGTGCAGCCGAGTACGAGGACTCACAAAGGCAAAGCCGATGGCTCCGCTCGTCGCTCTCCATCGAGCACGCTAGATCATATCAGCAAGTCAAAGCAAAACCTGAGATGCCAAAGAGCTCTCAAAACGCCCCGGCTTGGCGTGTCTGCAGGTTCTTTATCATTAACCCTAACCTTTAATTCCTCGGCAATCATTTTGCTTGCAGACTTTGGCTGACTCATGCGTTCGCCGCAACACTATTCGGGTCCAATGCAAACCTGTTTGCCGCAGTTCAGAGGGCCTTCCACGGAAGTGCAGAAGACAATGTGGGTACAGCAAGAGAAGGGGTCTGAAACAAGCCTCAGGCTGTTCTGACGGCATCTGCGTGAGTGAACAAGTCAGGTCTTCCTCTCCCATGGCACAGTGCCAGACAACAGCTTGAATGGAGATTCGTTCACTGTGCATGTGGTCTGGAATTGTCTGGAATCAAAGGCGTGCTCCCTATCTTGAGTGGTGGCCTGAATGAGCGCTTCAGCGGCGGCCTCTTCGGCAACGGAACCTACCTCGCTGAGGAAAGACTGCTGGCCTGTTGCTGAGCTTAATGACCCATGATTCGTTTGCTTGTCCCTGGGTGTTCCTGACTACTGCGATCGATTCCTGAGTTCTTGTTTAGCGGGTGCTGTGACACACCATGACAAGATTTCTGTCCACGGTGGCACTCTGAGAGAGTGGCAGCATCCTGTCGGAGGATATTGGCAAGAATGATCAGTACTGCAGGCACGGCTTCAGCATGACGATGAGGGCCTTGTGTGCTTTCTTGTGCTCCCCTGTGGAGGGCTCATTTTCCTGGGCAGCACCCGGAGTTGGAGAAGCTGCTGTACGGCGATTCTGGAATCAGCCATCCAGGCCATGATGTTGGTCTGCCTGTCTTCTGGCATCAGCTGAACGCACAAGACGTGTGTGGCTAGCAGGCGATGTCTTCTACATGTTCATGTGTCGAACTCTGCTGGGTTACAGCATCCGTACGACGCTTGTCTTCGCAGGCATGTTAAATTTGCAACCAGCCCCCTACAGCCTAAGCAGTTATCACGCTACGAAATTCTATAACGCTACAGGGGCTCCTGCAAAATTTGGTTGGCTTATGGTGGGATGGTTTTGGCCATTCATTGGCAATATCGAAATCAAGGAAGGCAGACTGCTCGCGTATCTTCCATCTTGCTCCTTATGGCTCCCTGGACCCGAGGAGAGACGGCAGGTCGGATGTGGACAACAAAGGTCGCAGCATCTGGTCTTCTGAGAAACGAAGCTCGTCCATGTGCTGTAGGCTCCGCCAGGAACAGTCATAAAGTAGCCAGTCATGTACAAAAGAACCGACTGATCCTAGGCGAGCTCGCAGCTATACCGAGTTCAAGCCCGCCGGTACTTCACCACAGTCTGGTTGCAGAGACCGGTGGAGTCATAGCAGCTTGGCGTGGCCTCGGACTAATCAAGACTCAGTAGCCGGGCGTTCCAGCATACCTGAATTGACCGCGAGTCAGCGGAACATGCACCATCCATCTCATCGCACATAGCAAAGGCTCGGTACCGCGAATTCATGGTCTTCCATGGCTCCAGGATATATCCTGAGTATCTGGTGGCCTACTTGCGCACCTAGCAGCCACACCACATGAAGGATTCGAGCAAGCTGCCTGCCTGTGCAGCGTGTTGACGAGGGAAGCTTGCCTGATGGATCTTGAAGATGCGGGCGGAGGGTCGTTTTAATTGGGCGGGTGGTGGGGTCTTTCAAGGCCAACCGTGCCGAGCTGCCAAAGCAGCGTCACGAAGGGCAAGAGCGCTTTGTGCTGTGTGTCCGGCGAGTCGAGTTGTACAGTGCGACCTCGACGGCGGGCCAAAATGCTTTCGGATGCTGCTCAGAAGAGCTGCGTGTCGCCCACAGACATGCGTGCGTCAGACGTAAGCTGAAGGTAGGGGGATCTGTCTGGTCTAACTGTCTAACTCTCAGGTGCGGAACCCTTTTGACTTTGCCAGCTCCTTGCTGAGCCACATGAGTCCGACTCCCTGACAGACAGCATCAAGGTCCGTACTCGTAGCTTCAGATTCCCAGGTCTGGACACCTTTGTGACCTCGGAGGAGGAGCAGATCTTCTCTTGGGCTTGGCACTTGTGGAGTTTGAGCCTTCTGACGCCTCGCGTTTTTTACTGTCATTTTGGTCAGATTTGCAAGAAATAACGGGCTCCGGTACGGGGGCCTAACGTGGGTGCTACGCTACCATCCCCGCGTGGCTGCGGGATGACGACATGTGTTCGGCTCCACAGTATCACAGTCACCAGGACTGCGTCACGAGGATTTCTGTGGCAGTGGCTAATGGGCTAATGGACGCATCCGCTTCGTCAGCATGCTCTTCGTGCTCACTTCCCTCTATCGACGGTATGTGCCCGAAAGACGTCGCCTCAAGAGATAGGGAGTGCACATGCAACGTGTCCGTGCTCGCTTCTCTGGATCGACACAACCACGGAATCAAAAAGGGGGTGCTGCGACTCAGTGCCAGTCCTGAAGCAGCTTGCAAAAAAGAGAAGCTCGATCTCAGCACAAAGTCTGAGAACATGCTCGGTACCATTGGGAATCGTATCCTGAACTCGTGACTACTGTGGTCCCCAGTAGCATGTGCAGAGGGGATGACTTCAGGTCGCAGGCCGCTTGCCAAAGCACTTCAGCCGCGGCAAGCAGCAGTACCTGGATGTTGCGCTCAGCGGCCTGAGGCGCCTGAATCCGCCTGTCATGCATTCCTCAGGCTCCACAGGCTCTGTCTGTCTCTGTCTCTGTGTGTGTGTGTGTGTTTGTCTATGTGTGTGTTATGTTTGTGTGTGTATATTATATATATATATATATACACATACATACACAAATATACGTACATGTGCAAATGGTATGGAGAACAGCTGTGCAGGTTTAAAGCATCGAGGCAAGAGTACGTGAAAGAGCAAACTGACGCGCAGAAGCAGACACCCGACACGCACGCAGAGATAGGGTTTTAGGGTTTTAGGGCTTTAGGGGTTTAGGGTTTTAGGGTTTTGGGGTTCAGGGGTTTAGGGTTAAGGGGTTTAGGGCCTAGGGTTTTGGGTTTTAGGGTTTAGGGTGTAGGCTAAGGTTTGGTAGACAGATCGATGAGAGACAGCTAGACAGACAGACAGATGGATAGATTGATAGATAGATTGAAAGAAAGTAGACAGGGGTGTATCTGCACAAGTCAATGTGCACTCGCAGGCATCACGTCATGACATAGCCTGCTTCCGGCAGTCCCTGCTTAGGGCTGGCATTCGCAATTTTTTGTTAATCACGACCTGCTGTTATCTCATCCTTGTGCGCAGGTACAGTGGCTATGTCGATGCGGTCGTGCAGCGATGGGTTCTGGTAGTCGACGAGTACCTTCAGTGCCCGCAGGACCCCTGACTTCAGAGACCAGGCAGTCTTTCCATTGGCTGCGCTTTGCATGTTGGAACTCGAGGGGGCAAACCGTTTTGAAGCATTCACCACCGTTCGCCGTGGGGACCGTACGGGGGGAGACCCCCGCCAGCACCCCTCCCGACACTAAATCCTTTTCCGACCTCTTTAAATCTTTACAATAATCTTTTGCAGGATTTCTTTTAAGTTTCGTTTTTGCTTTTCAAAGCTTTTAGACGGGCGCCATGGGGAGATTTTCCTGGACCCCCGGTTGAGAAAAACTCAAGAAGTCGAAACTGTTGTGACTATTGGCGCTCTCGTTCGCGGAAGTGGCGACCTGGTATTCCGTAATTCCTTTTTCACCCACAGCACCCCTCCAACCCCCCAAATCATCCGTGGTCAAGAGGCTTGGTCAGGGTTCGAGACAAGTGCACGACACACGACGACTTCTGGTGCTACAGAGGAACATCGAGCAATGTCGAGCAAGTTCGATCGCTGAAATCCCCGACCAGAGCTCTCAACATGTGGGACTGCGAATGCATCGGTTGAGCCTGCAGGACTTCGTCCTGGTGCGTTACGAGGAAAAGCAAGGGTTGAGCAAGTCGGTGTTTGCTTTGTGATGCTTTGTGCTGGGTTTTGCAGCTTTTGAGGTAAGGTTCGAAGGCTTTTCAGCAGGGTCTTTAGTTTGCCTGGTGCCTTCTGAGAGGACTTCTCATCCGATCCTGTCCAAGAGACGTCGGGTGCTAAGCAATGCTGCAGTTTTCAATGACCCAACACCGCTGCAAAGTGCAGTGCCGCTCGCAGGCGAAATCTCCTACATGCGCTGGGATTCGCTCACCTCTGGGGGCAGGGAGCGGAGGAGAGGATTTAAGTCAAAGGCTTTTGCTTCGTAGTTTAGGCAACGAGCACCTGAAGCATTCCATGCTAAGCTAGCTCGGGGGGCTGGCTTTAAGGTGTGCCAGGGCAGCGTAAGTGTCTGGCACCTCATCCGGCACATGCAGGAGCGGGTCCGTCAAGTGGCAGAGGCCAAAGCCGGTAGCTGGAGAATAGGCGTAGATCTGGATGATGGCGCACATTGCGAGGTGCAATACCAGACAAAGGGCCAGCACGGCAGAAACCCCGAGGAGGTTGGAGCTGGAATCTTGGTCGTTGCGTTTGGTTGCAAGCCTTCAGGTGTTTGGCCCTCGGATGTTTGGAGCCCAGTTCGGAAAGAAGGGCAACATGCGACCGAGTTGTACGAGTATTGCCAGTTTCGCCAATTGCATCCCAGATCCAGGCTCGCCCGCCTGGTCGTTGCAGTCGCCGTCTCGATCGTTTTGCACGGAATCGCCATGGCTCACGGAAGAGACAAACATTGGTATGCTTGCCTTTATTTGATGCCGCAACGAGCTGTGTGGCGTGATGGGGACCTTCCTTCTTGGCTCAGGTCCAGACCCGGGCAGAGCTTTTGGGATACGGGTCGCTGCTGCCAGCCGTCAAGGCGAGTCCATCTTTGCAGCGTTGATGCAGCTGGAGCGTGTAGAGGATTGCTACTAAGCGGAGCACGTAGTGACCACGCAAGGCCGTGCCCGAAGATTGGCCGGCGATTGATGTGCCACCCACACCCGTGGTGGGCAGCGCATGCTGAACGAAAAAGGGAATGTGGACATCGTGGCATTCGATGCCACAGAAATCGTCAAGACGTGGAAAGTATTCCAAGCTCTGGTTAATTGAAGGCCGTCGTTGTTTCCAGCAGACTCTAGTCTCCGACACTGCTGCACGCAGGTCTTCGAACTGCATGCCGAAGAGCTCTGGGGTCCCGGGAAGCAGATACCAGCGTTCGAGGCGCACACCTGAATATGTGACATGCGTATGGACGGACGTATGCATGCATGCATGCATGCATGCATGCATGCATGCATGCATGTCTGCATGTATGTAAGTAAGTAAGTAAGTATGTATGTATGTAGGTATGTTGCGAGGGGTCAAGCCAAGGGGACAATTAACTTTGCGGCCGTGGCCGAATCATACTGGCCTCTAGTACCACCAGAGCTACGTAGGATCTGGAACATGGTCATAGCCGGACTGCGGCCATTGATCTCAGCTCCGCAAAGCTTTTGGTCGCATCCTCTTTCACTGCCTTTTAGACAGTGGGTCAACCGCTTTTGCAAGTAATTAGGCCGCAAACTGCCTCTGAAGGCACGCAAAGCAAATGTATGTATGTATGTATGTATGTATGCATGCATGTATGTATGTATGTAGGCAGGTACTTGTAGGTCAGTTGGCCGGCAGGTCGATAGGTCGTCAGGACGGTAGGACGGCAGATAGGTATAGTAGGGGGGTAGGTAGGTAGGTAGGTAGGTAGGTAGGTAGGTGGGTAGGTAGGTAGGTAGGTAGGGATGTACGGACATAGTACAGGGGCATGCATGCATACATACATACA